CAAGTCCGATGCCAAGGGCAAGCCCAAGGGGAGGGGCAAGTACGCCTGGGGCGCTTTCGCCGCGGGCATTGTTGCCGCGCTCCAACCCCGCCCAAGCACAAGCTGGGTCCCAGCCTTCCCGTGCGGGTCGGCCCGGCCGCCGCCAAGTGTTCCGCTTCCGCCGCGGACCCCCTTTTTCCTGGGTCGCGGGCTCCTCAATCGGTTGATGCACGCCCTCAACGGGAACATCAACGGTTGGTGGGGCCTGGCGGCTGCAGCGTCGGCGCCGATTGCCTTGCAGTTGCACCGCGGGGTTGTGCATGTTGTCGAGGACTCCATGCACGCGGTTGCAACGGTTTCGGCCGACGTAGTCGAGGAAATCGGTCATGGGGCCAGGCGGACCGTGTGGGTCGCCGGAACAGCCATCACTCTGGTAGTAGTGATTTTGTGCGGCGCTGTTCTGTGGTACGTGAGTCGTGCCGTTGCCAATCGCATTGCGCATATGCGACATGGCAACACCGCGGCCCCTGAGGCGCGGCTGTCTCAGCTCCTTGGCTCCGAAGCGACGTTTGAGGTCGCGAGCTCCAAGAAAGGGGTGACCCATAAGGTTTGGGTGCACCTCAAGGAGGAGACAGCTGCCTGTGGCTGTCGTGCTTACCTGGCAGAAGGACGCTGCGGGCATTGCGATGCCGCAATGGACACCGCTCGTTCCCTAGGGTTTTTGCACGCGGCCCAGCGAGGCGCGGGTCCTGCGCTCACAGACTCCATTCGGAGTACCGCCTCCGAAGCCCTGGCTAAGGGTAAGGTTGTGTTGGGTTTGGGAACAGTGAAGGATGTTTCTCCCAACTTGCGGCCAAGAGCCGCGGGCTCTCCTGCTTTCAGGGGCTCGCGGGTCGTGACCTGGCCGCGGCCCCAGCAGATGGAGCGAGCGCAGCCCACGCACAGTCCGGCTTCGTGCAACGTGCCGCCACTGCCACTGTGGCGCGCACACCCAGCCGGAGGAACAAGGGCCCAGTCCCCGCTAGGAGTTCTCCAGTCAAAGAAGCGGAATTCCTTGCGGGCGGGCCATACGTTCAGGCCGCCCAAACGCTGCTTGGGTCTGGAGCAGCAGAGGATGTGATCTACATCCGGGCGTACAGCTTAGATTGCCCATCCTGCATCGAGGCAATCGAAGCGTCGCTTAGCAAGGGCGCAGGCGTTCGGATTGTCGCCGACATGGGACAATGCCACCGCACCAAACTGCAGTGGCAAGCGTTGAAACGCTTGGCGGCTGCAGGAGCCGAGGTGAAGGTGGGTTGCGGCTCATCCGTGCGCGACGCCTATGCTCGCGACGGCCGCGGGGCTAAAGTAGGTACCGGTATCCAAGGGCTTCACCATGCCAAGGCCCTTTGCCTACTGCGGCCTGATGGCGCGGTGGCGCTGATTGGGAGCCTCAATTTTACCACAAGCAGCAAAGCCAATGCGGAGGCAGGGCTTAGGCTAGAGGTCCCCAAGACGCACCCGGTCGCGCAGTCCTACATCGAGGATTTCCAGAGGGTGTCGGCTGAGGCATTCTCCCTCGATGAGGCGGTCGCAAGGCGCCCTCAGTTGGAGCGAGCCAGTAGCTCCAACGTTGCTGGCAACGCCACTCGTGCCCCCAACACTGCTCCACAGGGTATCGAGTAGGCTGCGGCCAGTCGGCGCGGCGTGGTAAGCATCCACGCATTATCAGAGCAGGCGTCGCAGCACGGCACGTTGCTTCGCCGACCTTTTGCACTTTCTTTTGCTTGACTGCGGGCGAAAAGCCGCGGCAGGTTGGAAACCTGCCCATTCTGCATTCCCCGCACCTTTCTCCTCCGCCCTGCCTGTGGCCCCTCGTGCTGAGGGTGCTCTTTTGCAGGTGCTGCGGACCGTGTCCTGGTCGCGGCAATGCGCTCGCCGAAGCGCGTGTGAGTTGCATTGCCTGCGGCACAAGCCATGTGCGCGGCTCTCGCTGAGTCTGGTAGCCCGTAGGGTAGTTCCGGATAGGTGAGTAGCCGTAGCCGTAGCTTAGGACCGGTAGTGTACAGTGTACCATTTGTACCATAGTCTGCGTACTGGCAGCTAGAGACCAGCTCGAGGATTCAAGAGCCTCGCCCACCAGCAAAAGGGTGAGGACCTCCTGGGAAAGGGTGGTTAAGGGTTGCTGAGGGTTGCCGTCGTCGTGCGTTCGTTGTGGTGGTGCGGGCTAGTGTCCCTGCCGCATGCCAATGCTCATGATGTGCGGACCACCGCGGTCGCACGCGACACCCTCTCCCTTCCCTTTCTGTGTTCAGCGCGAGTGCCTGCTGCACTCCGAGCTCGAGATGAGCTGGAAGCCTCGGCTGAGGGGCGAATGTGAGCAGGTCTAAGCACGCACGTTGCATGTGCAGAGCTGCCAGAACCAGTACTGTAGTTTTCTTTGCATGTGTAGTTTTGCAATTCGTAACAATGCCAATGTTTTGGCTCAAGTACCGAGCTTGTGCCTTTGAGCACGGTAGAGTCGTACAGTAGCTCCTAGGTTGCTGTGCGGTCCGACCGGACGCACTCAGGCGTAGCTGCACAAGTGCTTGAACTCGCGAAGTCGTAAAACAGCGTGGCCGGGCTGTGATTGCATTGGCTTAGTGCAAGTCCAGCGCTGGTCGACTTCACATACTTCTACTTCCAAATCTACTTCTACGTCTACTACGTCTACGTCTACTACGTCTACTACGTCTGCTACGTCTACTACGTCTACTACGTCTACTACGTCTACTACGTCTTCTACGTCTACTACGTCTACTACGTCTACTAGGTCTACTAGGTCTACTACGTCTACTACGTCTACTACGTCTACGTCTACGTCTCTACTTCGACTTCGACTTCTTCTACTACTTCTACTACTTCTACTACTTCTGCTACTTCTGCTACTTCTGCTACTTCTACTACTTCTACTACTTCGACTTCTTCTACTACTTTTACTACTTCTACTACTTCTACTACTTCTACTACTTCTACTACTTCTACTACTTCTACTACTTCTACTACTTCTACTACTTCTACTTCTTCTACTACTTCTACTACTTCTACTACTTCTACTACTTCTACTACCTCTCCTGCTTCCTACTCCGACTCCTACTCCTCCTCCTACTCCGACTCCTACTCCTAGGCCTCTACGACGACTACTCCTACAACTACTCCTACGCCTACTCCTCTTGCTAATAGTACTCAGGCAGGGATGCTGATCGCTCACCCACTGGGGCCTCGAGGAGCCCACCCACGAGTAATAGGGTAGCCAGGTTTGGTCTCCCTGGAGCGATCGAAGCCGTTCACACCATACGTCTTCAAACCCTCCATACAAAAGAAACTTTTTGTTTCTTCTTCATATTGCTTTGCCGAACCCACTATTTCCTCCATCGTTCAACAGGAAACTCTGCGATGTGATCCGAAGGTTACTAGGAAGCTATGCATCTCCTCTTTATGTTAACGGGAGGAGGTGGGGCTGCATTTTCCCTTGTGGGCGACCAAGGACTAAACAAAACTGGGTCGTGCTTTGTTGAGCAAAGCAAAAATGGGCAGGAGTTTGGCATGCATTGATCTACTTAGAACCTAATCTATGCGCGCGATCGCAAAGCAAAACAAAGCATGAGTTCCCTGAGCACAGAGCCTAAACTCACCTGGGGTTCGTGCAGGCTCCAAAACCACTACATAGTCATCGACTTTGCGATCATAGCCCGAAAGAGCTGCAGAAGCGAGGCTTCGGTTCAGCTTAGGGTCTGTTCTTCTTTTGTTGCCAGGAAAGTGTGGTCTTGAAAAGAAGGCTAAATGGCCCAAGCCCTCACCTTTACAAACAGAAGCCCGGCAACAGCCTTTGAGCCCTAAACTCAAGACTCTATACCAGGCGTGCCTCTAGACTGAACGATCTCCTTACCCGTGGAGGTGGCAAATAGAAAGCCAATGTGTCGTACACACTCTGTTAGTTTCACAACTTTTCAGAACTCAAATAGCTGGGTCATGCTAAAGCCCAAGTTCAGCTCTTGGGCCTATTCAGTAGCTTAACTCCCAGAGCTGGAATGCCTAGCATCTTTATGGTAAGGATTGAAGCACTCGCTGATGGAGTCGTGCATAAAGCCAATGTCCTTGGATCCGTAGACTTTGCAGTTCGGCTTCGTGAGGCCTGTGCTCGGCACGCGTCTTTGGCTTAAAAGGCTTTGCAGGTCTTTGTATTGCTTTCGCTGTGCCAGGATCTGCATGGCTGCGCGGTTGATGCAAACTGCAATTCGCTGTGATGTGTGGGGTTTAGGGCCTTTACGGGGATTGGGGATCAAGTCCGGCTTTAACCCCAAACCAAGCAACCAAAGCCGCAACAAAAGCACGAGCAGCGCCACGGCTCATTGTCCGAGAGTACTCTACGGAGCGGGGCTTTGAATGATGCCTCAAGTCATTTCTTGGGCCCCGAAAACTCCAAATCTCTGGACATGACCTCAGATATCACAGCCGCGCTGCGAGTGGCGACACGAACCAGAAGGAACCTTTCAAGAGTTCAGTTTCGGATTTCGAAAGGCTATGAGGGCTGCGATGCGGGCTTGATTTAGTTTTTCTGGTGTAGCAATTTCGAGCTTGAGGTTGAGGAATGGCTTGTAGGTTCTTAGGGTTCACAGAAGTAATGCAAGGTCTCGACACAACTTTCAGCACCTTTGAACACGGGCGCACACCAGGGACACACTTTTGCCTATAGCTCAAGGCGCCTGCGATCCAAAACACAGCGGGTATGTACACTATACAAATCATGCTGCTTATTGGGCTTTCCTAAATGTGAGTGTTTGTTACGGCATGTGCTCAAGCTTTACACAATAAACGAGGAGGTATTCTCACCCGTCTTATCTATTGACACATGCCGGGATCCTGTACACTGAAAACGTGCAGGTGACACCATTTCAGGCACTCTACTAGTGCGCGATTTCCGGGCTCTCTACTAGTTCGCAATTTCGATGACATTTCTAATTAAGCTGCCATTGACGGCTCAGCACACCTGCAAAATGCAATCAATCTCCGCTTGGGACTTCTCCTTTCTTGAGCTTTTTCGTTGGATCACTCAGGATGACTTTCCCTTCCTGCATCATACGGAAGAGCTGATGTGGACGCATACTCTTCGTGAGTGCGTCGGCAACCTGGGTGGCAGTGTCTGTCCACCTCAGTTTGTCACTGTGGGGCTTGTACAGCTCGTGGGTCTTGACGTCCTCACACCACAGCTGTTGCCTCATTGATTCCAACTCGATGGCTAATCTTTTGTCCGTTACTTTGTTTCCATGGCATGTACCCAGATGATCAGTAAGACTGCGACAGTCACTCACCCACTCATGTCGCATGTGCTTCTGCGACTCTTCCAGCCAGTTCTTCAACACTGGCAACTGACCTCTGAGCTCACAGAGAATAGCGCGGATGCGATCCCCTGCCTCGACTGCTCCTTGCATCCCGTAGGTCTCCGCCTGCAATGTACTTCAGCATACGCGACGGATGGTGGTGGAAGCATAACCAATGATGTGCGCCACATGGGTATTCGTGTCTACCATGCTCTCTGCCGTGATGTAGTGGATGCGTCCCTGCTGGCTTCTGAAACCTGGCTCTCCAGCAAACGAAGCATCACTGAAACTCACCACGCATGCTTCCTTCCATGTGAACAATCCGGCAGGGTAGTTCATGGACATCGACATGTCTGCTCTTGCAAGATCTACAACCTTGTTTGCATCTCTTAGGTCTGCTACTGTGGCCTTCGAAATACAACGCTGGAGACAATTGACCCTGTAGCAGAGGTCTGGTCTGGAGTACCTCGCTACCCAGGCTAAAAATCCGACTACGCTCCTAAGGGAGGTGGTTTCCTGATCTGTTATCTTCTCTGAGCCCTTCCTGTGCTGCTCCACAGAGATATGCCGGATCAGTCGTGTGTTATCCTCCGTGTCGATGGATACATTGTACTCATTGTCCTGTCTGAAGCGTCGACCGCAATATCGGAAGTCACCTTCCTCTATCTTTCCTAGCTCAAAGTGGGATAATACCCTGTCCATTAGCTTTTTGCCTTCGTCTGTATGGGCCCACAGCAGATCATCGACATGCGTCCCCAACATGACCGCCGGTGTTCCGTCGGTTCCAGGAACGTAGTAGAGTCCAGGGCCGATCTTGGACATCTTCAGCCCCTCTTGTCGGGCAACCTTGCTGAGTCGCACGAAGAATCCACGACCTGCATCCATGGTTCCATACACTGGAAGACGGCATAGCAACATTGCTTCAGGGTCCACGCCTGGTAGGCCTCCTCTAGGCTGCTTCATGAGAATCACACGTTCGAGAGGTTCCGATTGAAAGTACGCCGAGGACACGTCTCCACAGTACAACCGTAGGCGATGGCAAGCTGCATAACTCGCGATCATGCAGTGTGTTTCGGCTTCCGCCGTCGGAGAGTCGCATCGCAGTTGGCTTTCGTCTACGTCCTCAAAGTTTCCGCACGAAACTAGTCTGCTGCGGAATTTGGGGGTGTAAGCCTCAGTGCCTTTTAGATGTTCGTGTTTGTCAACATCCACCCATTGGGATGGCACGGGCTTGTGACCCTCTTGCAAAAGTTTGCCCAGCAACTCACCTTGGATAGGAACTGCGGCATTCCATGTCTGGTACTTCTTCCACTCGTCGCCGCGCGCACCCAAGATTCCATCACGCGTTCTCTCGTCCACATCTCTGATGTCGAGTTTCTTGGGCTTCTTACCCTGAGCTGCTTCTTCTGCGATCGCGGTCTTGGCTAACCTCTCCGTCATGAAGGCGATGTAACCTGCATCCGAGACTGGTGCATCCGGCAGCGATGACAGGTCGGTCGAACCGAAGAGCTTTTGTTTGAAGCATGTAAATCCTGTCCACTCACGACTGTCTTTCGAGTCTGCTTCTCGGATCATTCCCCATTCGTCTTCTACTGTCTGTTTGGTTCCATCTGCAAACGTCTTGTAAGTACTTCTGGAATAGCTGATCTCATCAATGCTACCTGGGAAATCACTTTCATCGGGGGTGTAGAGCATTACGCGGGGCTTCTTGTGTACACGGATGAAGTGGCCTTTCATTACCTGCCAGTAGTCTTCCGATCCATCACGCGATGTCGCCTCATTTATGGCCTGTTCCCAACTGCTAGGACTCATTTCCTCTGCAACATCCGAATCCTCATCAATCTCAACCCCGTTTCTGTAGCTCAAGTATCCGGTGTCCTTCATCAGGGCCTCTAGCGGCTCAGTGTGGAAACCGAGCGACTTCAAGGCTTTCCTCTGTTCCTTGTCCAGGCTGGCGTAACCTCTGCTGGCGTAAGTGGATATGGACCAGCGTTCTCCCTCGAACGGCATTGTCGCATGAGGTTGATCAGGGCCAAAGGCAACTATCTTACGCCTGCTTTCCAACAGTCTACCCGCGCGGCCCTCATACTCTGCATGCTTTCCACGAGCACTCGAGTCCCTGACCCACAACTCTCCTCCTGTGAAAGGACCTAGGCTTGTGAGCTGGTTCATGGAGCCGGGCAGGTTGTTGGAGTCCTTGTGCAAACTTGCTTCTGTGTTGAAATTCACCACGAAACTTGACCACCCTTCGGTTGCACCCTTTGCCTTCAGGTACTCGTTCACATACCTCACAAACCATACCTGTTCCATGGTGGCATTCGTCAAACCTGCGAACGGTCCATGCGCATAGGCACCCAGGCTGTAGCTTCTCCCGGATTTTGTCGCTTCTCGTTCCCCTTTCCGTTGCTTCATCTTTGTTGCCCTCAGGATTTCTAAGCAAGTACCTGGCCTGAAATCGCCTCTGTCTAGCGCCTCTTTGGCCATCTGCTATGCTTGTGACATGGCAATCTCCTCCACGGCAAATGCTTCATTGTCTTCGCCCGTCTTATCTATTGCTATCTTAGCATCATCTTCCGAGTCACTGCTTGAACTCGAACTGGAACTCGAGCTCGCACCGATTGGGGCATCCTCGGCCTGCTTCACCACGATCTTCCGCTTCTTCGGGTCCTGTGTGCTTCCTGCTTCGGGCGAATCTGGCGGTTGTCTAGACGGCTTGGGCTTTCGAAGGTCCTCTGAGCTACCTGCTTCGGGCGAGTTTTGCTGCTGTTCGGAGACCTCCAGCGGTTCTCTAGCATCAATAAACCCTTGCTTCCCTCGGGGCCCTTCTGTCAGACTCTCAGGTAAAATCGGGATCCCTTTCAACATGCAATGGGACATCACTTCCTCCTCGGACGCAGGACGCAAGGAATGCGCTGAGCACAAGATGGGAATGCCTGCATGCACCACCCATACCGATTCCGAGTTTTCTTTCCCGATAACCCGCGCTACCGAGCTCCATTTAGTCCCACCAGTCTGCATGTCCCGCCTGTACACTACAAAATCGCCAGGCAAATAATCTTCACGGATAGCGACAGCGTTGCGGGTGAGGGCTTTTTGGACTCTTCGGCTGCAATCTAGATGAATCATCGCACCCTTGGCGTTCATCCTCATCTGATGTCTCTGGGCAAACTCGCTGTCCTTGCTGTGCCTCGCCTCCAAGGCACCCAGGTCTGCCTATCCATCCTCATGGGTGAGGGCACCAGGTTCGGTCGGATTGCGGCCTGTGATCCACTGTTGAGGACTATAGCCCCCAGAGTTGACCATAGCATTCTTGATGGCCACTACCTCTTGCGCAGCCCGCCTGACTTCCGTGATTCCACGCACCGGCGTTTCATGGATCACTTTGCGAACTATGGCCTTGGCTAGGCCACCATGTCTTTCGACTTTTCCTAGTTGCCATGGAGCCTCAGTAGGAGCATATTTCAGGTCGATTCCTTTCTCTGCGGCCCACTTGGAGAGCAACCCCCGGTTGTGGGTGCCCCTATCGGCCATTAAGACCTTCGGGGGTCCCAACCAGGTTACCCAGCGTTGTATTGCCTCCAAACACATCTCTGCACTCGGCGGCCCCTGATGCTCTTTCGACACTGGGCGCAGAACCTCAAGTTGTTGGAAACCAGAGGCTATGTCGACCATATTCATGCACTGAAACCGCTGTTTGTCAGAATCAACCACCTCAAGGATGTCAACTCCAAGTGCATCTCCAACCTGGTACTCCTTCGTTCCAGACCCCACCGGATGTCCTCTCGGCTTCCCGGATGTTTTGATGCATGTGTCGCATCGTACAAGCTTGGCAGCCTGCACGAATTCCTTGGAAGCACCTCCTGCCTTCAAGATCGCTTCGAGGGTCCTAGGAGCAGGGTGGTTGAACTGCCTGTGCAATCGACGGATTGCCACTCGGACCTTCTGCGGCAGCTTGCGCCACAGTGCTCTCCTCTCTTGCTCGTTTTTAGGCACTCCTGGAAGGGGAAGGGATTCTAGCCATGCTCTCTCACGTTCCTCGGGTGTCGTTGGCGGCTTCATGGCTTGCTCAACCAATCTCTCCTGTTCTTCTCTCATCTGTGCTTCTTCAACGCCTCCTGAAGATACCCCTTCTAGATCTCCAACACCTCCAGCGATTTCAACATCCGACCCTTCGGGTGTGTCAGGCTCGTAATCAGGCACATCGTCCAAATCGCCACCTGTGGCTGCAACCATCGCGCTCGACATCATCTCGAGGTACGCTTCATCAGCGATGGTCTTCAAGAGATCTACGAACTTATGCTGATTTGTGTCCTGATATGCTTTGGGTGTGTAACCATCACCCTCAAACCACACGCAGATGTCCTTCCCAATAGTGCGGGCCAACGGTCCAACGCACACCATATCCGCATCTCCCTCACACTCATGGGTGTACACTCCACAGTAAGGCATCATGGACATGGGAGACAGGATGCAAACAGTCACTCCTGAGGCGTCAGACTCACAAAGCAAATCCATGATGATCTTAGAATCCGGTTCCAAAGCCTTGTACACGATCAGACCTGGCCTGTGCTCGTTGATCTCGTGGACGAGTCGGGTGATCTTGTAATCCTTCGGCGACATTTGGGAAATTCCGGGACACAAGGGGAACTCTTGGTTGTCATGGATGAGTATCAGGGTAGTCGCGGGATCTGAGTCTGGGCTGTACGAGGGAATACCAGCAACCATAGCCGTGCATCAATCCATCATGCAAACCGTGCGAACACCAGATCGGTAACTGTTGCGCTGGGTAGGGTTCATGATTGCTGTGTAGGCCTGCTTCTCTTTTTCATATGCAAGGCTGCTGTGATACGTAGGGTGCTGCACGACCAGGACGAAGTCGGCTCCAGAATCGATCTCGGTAGACCCCGCGTCTCCTTCCCGAGATGTCCACGTCCGACCACGCTTCGTGAAGGCCACCTCACTCCAACTCAGAGGATGCATCTCCCGAGAAACCGCAACAAAACGTGGCAACTGCTTCATATCCATGCCCTTACGGACATCATACAAAACAACACGGATGTTCTGCCGGAAGTTCTCGGCCGTCTGCAACTCATCTGAAGGACCGCACCAAAGCTCCTGCTTGCAACGGAGAAACTTGCTGCTAATACGCGAGCCCAATGTATCCAACAACTCCGCCAAAATGCCACGATCCAGCCACGGACCAACCTCGCGGGTGATGTCATGCCTCCAATCATCCGCAATAGCGCCGCTGGTTCGCGGGATCCTCTTCCAAAGCGGTGGCGGCACACTAGGTTCCGCAGGCAAAATGCGTGGCGTTCGCGACCTCTGCAATGTCTCGCGAGTGCGAGCCTCAGTCCTAGCTGCAGCTCGGCCCCTCACATCAGCATCGCTGCGAAGCTCAGTTGGCTCCCTTCTCCGAGGGATTGGATCTCGGCCTCCCTGCAAAGACTGCAGCTCGCTCCTCAGGCGATCGTTCTCCGCAGCCAGCAGCTCCATGCGCAGCCTCGCGTTCTCGGCCTGCAGGGCAGCTTCTTGCGAGGAAAGGTCACGATCCGAGGCTCCCGAGCTCGTGGGCACTTCTCGCACGCGGTCCGTGCCGCTGTATGCTCCAGGGTGCCTCTGCGAAGGCCTGGGCGTCTCCTGCTCCAGGTCGACGACCTCCTGAGATGGCACCGCTCGTCTCCACGGCCCGTACCATCCAGAGCCCCGCAGCGTCGGCTCATCCCAGCTAACGTGGGTGTAGGCGATGCTGCGTCGCATGTCCTTCATGACCTTAGCGACAGCTGCAGGATGATTGGTCGACTCCCAGCTACAGCTCGAGCAACGGCCGAAACAGGAGCGCATAGATGCCCAACAGTCATCGCGACCAGGGTGTACGATCTCAAAATTGCACTCAGCATCGAGGATAGCTGTGGTCAGCTCACAAGCGGCCACAGATCGGTGTCTCGCAGCAGTGCAAATAAATAAGATGTACATCGAGGAAGGCCGGGTGCTCTTAGCTACCCAGGTGCGTAGGCCAGCGAGAGCATTGACCAAAGCCGGGGCATGCGCCACCCGATCCAAAATAGCGGGGTTCTTCCCTATATGGTTCGTGATGGGTGCCGGGTCGGATACTGCAGCGAGGTCGCAGACGAAACATGAAGCGTTGCTGGGCACCTGGGGCCCGAAAACTGATCTCACCAGCTCGAGCGCGGCCCGTTTAGCCTCAGAGTCGTACTGCTTATGGCCATCTGCATACGCCTTCCACTGCGATGCCCAAGAGTTGATTCTAACGCCCACGGAGCCAATAAAAACAGTCGTGCGATTACCAGCCGGCCTGCTCGCAGCCATATTCGCAGATGTATCAAGACTCGCGGCGTCGGGCAAAAAATCGGAACTCAAGGAACCACCAGATGTCTCAGCTTCGCCGGGAAAAGTAGTGGATGTCGCAGCGGTATGCAAACGATCGGAACTCACATCCAAAAGATCGCCAGAGCTCGAGGGCTTGTCTGAGCTCACAAGACTCGCAGGATCAGGGTTCACAGGGCCATCGGTGAAACCAAGCTCTCCACCCTTCAAACGACCCTCAAGGGTTGGGGAATCGTCTTGGGGACGTTCGTTGCATGGTTCATTCCGATCATCTTGCCTCTCGTGACTCCGTGCCTTCTTGTTCCGGGGTAGCACTATGGGTCCATTCGCTGATGCTGTCGAAAGCTTTCGTACTCCTTTCGGTAGTACGCTGCGATGCTTCAGACCAGTGCTGAGACTTTTGCACGGGCTAATGGCACATGCATCTCTATGTTGTCTCTGAGTATCGTGCATGTAAAGTCCCTCATGTTCTTGACCAGTCCAAGCCGACATTGAGCAAATTGGGAGAGCAGCAAAGGGGCGTTGTTCGACTCCGGAAGAACGTGAACATCCAGAAGTCCCGACACCAAATTCCTTCCACTAAGCTCGGGTTCATCCCCTTCATATGTCTTGCCCTTGCCGGAACGGTCAAGGTCGAATAACAATATGGAAAAGGGAACGCGTCTCGTACCCAGGGTAGAAGTGGTGGAATCTAACCCGTTAAAGGTCTTGGCCTCCGAACTCATCCATGGAGCCTCAAACCCCAGGCGGTGTAGCTTCTGCTCTGTGTTACGCATCCATACTCCACCCGCAACGGAGCTATTTGCACCTTCGTCAAGTACTGCGTAAGTGTCAGGGCTGGACATCAGATCTACCTCGGGTAGGGTCAAAGTAACCTCGTCATCCTGAAGAACCGCCATGTACCCACTCAAGCTATCTTCATCCATGTCAGACATCGTGGTCCTTCGTCTCTCGCTTCCCGCAGCTGCTGACATCGAATGACCTGGGAAAGCGCGTGCGCGTGACGGCATGTCGGGGATCTGCGTCGTTGTCGGGGGTTGTGGTCTCTCCTCTTCTACCACTGCTGCTAGAACACTGTCTTGCACGATTGCATGTAGCGTACCCACTTTGATAGACGGTACTTCCCCTGCGCAATCTTGCGCTACCAACTCATTCTCTACCTGGGTTCGAAGATCATCAAGAACTCTCAGGACTTGAGCGGTACTCAGCTGGGTCTCATTTGTGATGTCTTGGTAGATGTTAGATACCAGATCAAACGACTGCGACGTAGCTGATGCGATGCTCTTACCTGTCGTCTCTCTGCGCTTTGCTTCTTCTCGTGGCATCTCATCGATGAAATTTCCGCAATCCTTGCAAAAGACTCTCATCGTCGATCTAGAACTGCCCAATCTGCTCGTATTCTCATGACTGCACTGTGTGATGTCCTTCTTCTCTGGCTGGGTCTTCTTTATCTTCTCAACATGCCCACAATCCCTGCAAGTCCTCACCGTTACGTACGCATTGGTTCCATGTGTGCTGACATCCTTACACACCCTGCACTTCACCGGGAGTGGAGGATTCGGGGGCTTCTTCTTCGCCGTATAGTGACTGGATGATGCTGGCGCAGATACTTGCGCTCCCTGGCCGGACGGTCCAGAGGCTTGAGATGGTCCCATGCGGTCGAGAGGAATCTCTCGCCTAGTGACCTCTACTGTATCTTCATCGATCTCGTAGTAGTTGCGCACCCAATCCAGATATGCTGCAAGATACAACGAAGGCTTCTTCTCCTTGAATCCCCATACCGCATATCCCGGGTACTTCCATGTCACTTCCTCAAACGACAACCCTGTATGTTGCCCGAACTTGAATCTCTGATTTCCTCCAGGTGGAACAACCTGGCTACCCAGATCACGTACCTGGGAAGGTGACAGTCTAGGTGCGGCGCTTGACTTCGGCGTTGCGCCTGCCTTGTAGGCCATCATGGCATGAGACGTCCCTTGTCCTCCATCGGAAATCACCAGGCAATCCTCATCATCATCACTGGAATCTGACAGAGTCGCAATGAAAGCCTGCTTCGGGACGTACGCTTTCCACCCAGGTGAGGCACTTGAAGAACCGAACCCTTTTCCGAATCCTTTTCCCTTTGGGAAACCCTTCGTAGTACCTTTCCCTAGATCCTTTCCTTTTCCCTTCGGCCAACTGTCCTGTGACCCAAGGATACGTTGACTGCGTAGGTGAATCAGTCCGTGATGCTCAATCATGATCTTCGCATAACCTTCAAAGGTATCTATCCCACCGGCACATGCCTTGATCATCAACTGCTGATCTCTAGTCAGACCGCTAAGTTCCAGTAGCAATTCGGCCCTCAAACTGTCCGAAAGACTAATCCGAGGATCTAGCTGTTGCATGAGCAGCCACCAACGACGGCGCCTGCCTACGTAGCTGACAACAGACTCGATTTGCTGCCTAGCCAAGGGTCCGAACTTGTCCTGACCACTGCGGAACAAAGCCTGAGCTTCCTGTGTACCAAGCGGGAAAACCATCCTCTTTATCTCATCAATCAGAACTTGAAGTCCATTCTTTTCACCCAACTTGGCAATGCCCAAATCCTTCGCCTTCTGGAAAGCATCACCTCTCAAACCCTCAAGCACTTTAAGAACTGTTTCCATCCTGCCGTCATCAACTTCTTCTGAATCGCCATCTTGATCGCGGCCACGCTCATCAGCGTCTTCGTGGATGAAACCTTCCATTCCATCAAACGACCCTTCCGATCTAGGTCCATGCTCCGACCCTCTCTCTGACGATGCTCCCTTCGGGGTTCTCTCCTTCTTCCCTGTCTCGGGCTTGCTTGAAGTTGTAAACGACTCATCCTTCTTCTTCTTACGGACTTTCCGGGATCGTTGTTCTTGGGCTGCAATCCGTAACTGTGTTCGGAACTCCCACTCATGGTAGTCTTCTGGCGATCCTCCGTAGATGAAACTACCATTCTTCGTGACTGTGGGGGCTGCATCGTACACCTTTTGTCGATATCTCAAACCTGCAACTGTCATGATCCAAGATACCAACAACCAACTTGCTTCTTGATGTGTCGAACGATCACACCACGCAACCAAGCAATCGTGTCACTACGTCAAATCGATCGTAGCACTCCTCTCGCAATCAACCAACAATAGTTCGACGTTGCCTCAGCCGATCGGTCAGAGGACTTGGGAAAAATTGTAGTTCGGCTTTCACTCACACACACTCCAACCCAATGGGCCCGCCGGAACTGCCTCCAATAAAGGAGCAAGCAAGCTCCGCTACCAGTTTGAACACGGGCGCACACCAGGGACACACTTTTGCCTATAGCTCAAGGCGCCTGCGATCCAAAACACAGCGGGTATGTACACTATACAAATCATGCTGCTTATTGGGCTTTCCTAAATGTGAGTGTTTGTTACGGCATGTGCTCAAGCTTTACACAATAAACGAGGAGGTATTCTCAGCACCTCACACCCTCAAGGGAGAGCCATCTTCGCAAAACCCCTTAGCCACAGCCTCAAACCCAACTTTTAACTAAAACGTTAAGCTCAGACACCCGGGCACATCTCCTTCCGCGAAGGCAGAGGTGGCCGTAGCGGGGCAGAATCGTGGCTCGGTCTGGGTGTTGCAGAGGGTTCAAAGAATATTCACCAAGCTTGCTTCAGTGTTTACAGTTGCGAAGGTTTCCGCAGTGCGCTCCGAAAGCCTAGGGTTTTGGAGCTTAACATGGAAGATTGTTGGCCTTCAGGTTCAGGCTTGCAGTTCAGGGATTGCGAATCCATGCTCGGGTTTAGAAAGCTTTGAGTTCTGATTTGATGGGCTATCGGCCTTGCCTTTGCTCTGTGTGGCTTGGATTCCTGCAATTTGGCAGTGAAAGCAAAAGTAGCGTATACTGCGGCGGCTTCTTCTCAACTCTGACAGCCAACCAATGTTGCAACTATGTCACTCGTGAACTGCTTTGCTATTGTGGTTCTCCCCTTTTGTGATGACCACACTTTTCTTTTCAGCTGCCTGTTGTGGACACTATCCGTTCCCCTGTTTTGACTGGCAACAGGCTGCGCCAAGAAGCACGAGCAAGGTTGCGGGAAGTGCAGTGATGCCGTCAAACTCCGCCCGACACCCGGGGCATGTCGGGTTGCCTGCAAAAGGCAACAAGGTGGCCGCCAGGCATTCAGGTGCATGTGTTTCGTGCTCGAAGACAAACACATTAGGAAAAAAGGTCAGATACAAGGTTCAACACGACTCCACCACTCCCCCCCCCTCCCCCCCCCCCCCCCCTCCTCCCCCCCCCTCCTCCCCCCTCCTCCTCCCCCCCCTACTCCTCCCCCCCCCCCCCCTCCCCCCCCCCCTCCCCCCCCCCCGTGCAAATGACTGGCACTGGGTCTGCTTTGGATATGCAGGGCCTTTGATGCAGATGTCGACTCTGCACATCTACTTCTGTGCACATGAGGAAGATCATCATATTTGCGCTCGAGCGCAAATGCCAGGGGGCATCGGGCCACGAGACAAGGCAGGATTCGTCCGAATATTCAGGACACAGAAGGAACCTAACAATCGTGACAGAGACGATCCACTCCAGCATGCTTGGAAATTCTCGTCGAGCTGAAAGCTGCTGAGGATTGTGGAACCGCAAGCCTATATCCTGGAGGCGAACCCTCCGACACCAGCATTCAGCTCCACAAGTTTAGCAAGCCTGCTTCTGGATTTTCTCTCTTCCAGTTTTCGGCCTCAGTCCACTCATTGTCCCTTGACTGCTCAAATGACCGGACTAGAACAGGTCTGCCACATAGGTCCTACTTAGCTGAATCCCTAACCACCTCTGAGATGAATTATCGAAAGAACCTGCATACGCATAACCGCGCGCACGAATGCACACCCTTCCGAAAACATCCGACTTGTCAGGCAGAGAGGCACACGACATGCACACTTGGCAGCTGCAATTGCATGCCCTCCTGCTCAGGCTCTCGGCTTTAGGTGCAATGTTTGGGGAGGACACGTTTAGCAGGTTTTGTAAGACTTCCGCGTTACTTGTGTGTTCCGTGGGTTTTGATCAGCAAGGCCGCTCATTCAACAAAAAGGCAAGACAAGGCTGAGGCCCACTTGCAAACCCGATCTCGATACCGAAAATGCCCCAACCCCAACCATAAGTGCTTGGGCAAACCTTAGCAAGTACTTCCTCGATGGTGCTCGACATGTGTCAGCCCACGCGCACTTGCGTGCAGTGGATCTTCAATCTCGGGCAAACTGACACTGTGCCTTCCCTCCCACTGATCCCTTGAAGTTTCACTCCATTACCGTTGATGTTGATGTTGGCTAAGCACTCATGCAAGCAGGTACTTGAAAGTTCATCTATTCAGATAGCTATCACTCTACCTTGCGGAACAGACCCTCTTGTGCTCAGGTTGATGGAGGCTCTGCACCATAAGTGGGGCGATTCTCATCGGAGGATGTCTTCTTGTTGCAGGGTCTCTGGGAGTTTGCAGCGCGTCGATCGTTTGTACTTCCCATTATGTTTTGGGCGACTGGGCATCCCATCCGTTTTTTCAGAGTGGTGGGTGCATTGTAAGGGTGGGAAGCCTTGATTCTTCTATTTAAAGTTTATGATGGAATATGACCGATATCTGCCCAACGAATGACCTTATAGATGGACTCTTCATTGACCCCGCCAGGTACGATGGTTGAACGCGATTCGTGATGCCACACAGAGCAAGTCTCCTACAATGCAATGCTCAAACCATCTTCAACCCAACAAGCAGCAAAAAAGCGCCCTCAAGCACAAGCACGCCTTGAGCCCCTCATGAGTATGGAGGGCGTCTTTCGTCGGAATGGCTCCATGCATACACTGCAGGACTCATTCTCACAGACCTGGGGACATCTGGTCACGCTGTGAAGGTTGGCTCTCAAGTCATACAGAATTCTACAGATTTTTTGGCACGAAGGTCCACATCCCGTGACCGAAAACTTTCTGGAAACCTTCATTTTTCAGCACAATCGCCCAACACCAAACGGGCAACACAGGGCTGAGGATGTAGGGTGTTGCATTTTGATTTTACCGATGTCGAACCGCCCAAGAAGTCCTGCAGCCAGTTCACAGGCGTGCATTGATGGCTGGCCACATCCATCTGCTTCATTTCCTGCAAGAGCCACCGCGAGGCTAAATCCAAATCCTCAAAAACACAACCCAAGAACCCGAAACCAAGCCCGCAACTGTACCTGTATCCTAGACCCTTATGCCACAAATAGCACGTCCATGTTTCTTAGAGTTCAAGGCACAGGGCTCCGAACAAAGAAGGGTGGGAAGAGCTTTACATCCTTGAAGGTGGGATTTGATCATGCTTTTATTTCTTTATCCTCGTTCTCTGAAACTTTTGAAAAGCTGCACATGCTAGAATCATCTCGAACCGCCTAGAACCTGCAAGGGCCTAACATCCCACGAACCAAAGTGCAATCCCTGAATCAGCTCTTGCCAAACCTCTTCACACTACAGAGCTCCTAGAATTTGTGAGTTTTTGCACTTGACTTCTAGGGCGGTTTTTTTCTCCTCTTGTTCGGGGGTTAAGGTCCAAATTTGAACCCTGCACAACTCCGGCAAAGGCCTCCAGGCAATGTTTGCAGATGTGCGACGCGAAAGGGCACCGGTCGCCCTGGGGAGTCTCTGAAACCAAAGCTCACTGAAAAGACAACTCCCTACCTCCAGCTCCCTACTTCAACACTGGCTGCAAGCACGGTCGGTAAATGCATGCTTCATGCCCGGTCCGGCATGCTTAGGGTGCACTGTTTGGGATTCGAAGAATAAGAAGTACCTGGGACAGTTGGATCTGGAACGTATGGGTACAGATTCACGACGCTTACATCTTCATGCTTTTGGACTTACAGGACTGTCCTGTTGACTGGCCATTCGTGCCTGCAAGTCTCTCACATGAAGCCATTAAATCAAGCGATAGCTCGAAGACCTCTAGTTTTCGGCAAGGTCTGAGGGTAGCGAGCCATCAACCTATTTGCTACAAGTATAGTCAAGAAGCCACTGAGATGTTAATCCAAGCCGATCAGCCACTGAGCTTCTCACTTTCCTGGCTGGGTAGCTAGCTGTTCATGGGTGTGAGGGTGTCCTGGTTTTGTGACTTGGCCTGGCGGTGTACTGAGAGTGTGTGTGTGTGTGTGTGTAGACTGCGGCAGGTCTGTCCAACTTAACTTGTAGAATGGGTCGAAATGCCTGATGATCTGCTTGTTTCGTTCTTTGTAAGTCTCAAGAAATGTCGTTGGGAAGTGGGTGGAAGTGCAGAAACTGCAGCGTGAGGAAAGCATGTATCCGTGTTATTCTTGCGATAGGCAGGGAAAGTATAAAGATGAAGAGAGTTAGTTTTTGCAGCCCCACAAATCGTCAAGTGCCAGTTTATGGCTGGGTGTCCGAGAGCAGCCTCTGATCAGACCGCAAATGGAATCCCACCCAACCCAACTCCTAAACCAAGCTTGCCAAACCCCAATCCGACTCAACCTTGAAATCCAAAGGCCCGAATCCCCTTGTATGCTCAAATCTGCCGATGGTCGTGCGCTGTCAACTCGCGCCGAAATCCAGTCCAAGTGCAACTGCGGTTCTCGCACGCGACGGGGGCCTCCGGGCCTGAAGCAGATATCCAACCAATCCCCTCGCCCCCCCCACCCCCTCTTGTCCCTTGCCACCTCCTCGCCCCTGTTCATATTAGCTTTTGTTTTACTCACCTCGCTGCCCTCTTTACTCCTCCCTCGCCTCACGTATTCATTCCCCACCCGCGCACTCCGAGTGCGCACTCCCCCGCCTTTACCACGCCTCCCCTACCCCCCAAAGAGCCAGTTTTCCTGGAAGCGGCGCACTCCTACGGGTCCGGCCGAGGCCGGTCGCGCAGCGCTAACATGAAGGGGCTGGGGCTGGCTGTAAAGAGTAAATCCAAAAATTAGGGCTTCACCATCTTATAGGCACTTTGCCAAGACAACCATAAGCCCAGAATCCCAAACTGTTGGGCAAACCACAAAAGCTTATGTACCCAGGTAG